CCCCGAAGAGATCAACGTCCGCCAGTGGGTGACCATCGCCAAGATGAAGTCGCTGCAGGCGACGCGCCCGGTACAGGAAGGCGCGGCCAATGCCGCCGGCCGCTTCCGCCACATGGCGCAGGCGGTGCGGCTGCTGGCCAGCATGCAGCTCCCGTCGGAGACGCTGAAGAAGATCCTGGCGCCGGCCGAACGGCGCACCGCCGACGTTCTCTTCTATACGGGCTGCAACGTGCTGCGCACGCCGCACATCGTGCTGAACGTCATGGACATCCTCGACGCGCTCGAACTCGACTTCGACGTGGTCGGCGGCACTGCCCATTGCTGCGGCGTCTACCAGTTCCAGGAAGCCGACTTGGCCACCTACGAGCGGATGGGCCATCGCACCTTCCAGCGCTTCGGCCAGTCGGGCGCCTCGAAGGTGCTGACCTGGTGCCCGACCTGCACCAAGAACTTCGACGAGCTGGAAAAGGACGTCGAGGAACCCTCGTTCGATCTCGGCCATGTGAGCGAATTCCTCGCGGCCAACCTCGACGCGCTGAAGGCGCGCTTCAAGGCCGACCAGCCCAGGCGCCGCGTCGTGATCCACGAGCATCAGGGCATCGGCGCCACGGTGGAGAGCGTGCGCAACCTGCTGCGCGCCGTGCCCAAACCTCGAACTGGTCGAGCTGCCGCAGGATTCCGGCTTCTCCTATGCCTGCGGCGGCCAGGCCGCGAAGTTCAAGGACCGCGAGCAGGCGATCCATCGCGACCTGGTCATGGGCGCGGTCGACGCCGGCGCCGACACGATCGTCACCATGTACCATTCCTGCCATCGCGCCCTCTCCGGCGCCGAGGCGATCTACCCGTCGCTGCGGGTCGTGAATTTCACCGACGTGCTGGCCGAGGCGCTGGGCCGCGGTGGCCATCCCGACTACTACCAGCTCTACAAGCGCGGCGGCGCGATGGACGAGGCCGTGACGGCCGCGCGCGGCTTCCTCGAGAACAACGGCGTGCGCATCGACGAGAACGCCGTGAAGTCGCTCACCGCCGACATCTTCAACGAGACCGGCCTCGGCGGCCCGCGCGAGGCCTTCGTCGAAGCTTTCACGACGCTCGCCCGTGAGGGTTGACGGAACTCAGGGCTGTCGTACTGAGCGCAGCGCAGGAACTGATGAACGATCAGCGGACTCCGTCGTCGATGGCAGATTCTTCGCGTTGCCCTGGATGAGGAGCAAGGAACCGGAGTGACCGACGTCTGGCTATTCTCCTATGGCACGCTGCAGCAGGAGGACGTGCAGCTCGCGACCTTCGGTCGGCGGCTCGACGGCCGTCCCGATGCCCTGCCGGGCTACACTACGTCGCTGCTTGAGATCCGCGACCCCGAGGTCGTAAAGACCAGCGGCAAGACGCATCATCTGATCGCGCTGCCTTCCGGACGTACCGAAGACGAGGTGCCGGGCGTGGCCCTGACGATCACGGCCGCTGAACTCGCCGCCGCTGACACGTATGAAGTCTCGGACTACAAGCGGATCGCCGTGCGCCTGAAGTCCGGCCTCGAGGCCTTCGTTTACGTCGGCGCCTGATGCCGTCGGACTAGCGGCCGGGGACGGCGAGCACAGCCCAGGCCGCATCGGCAAAGAACGCCACATGGTCGGAGAGCGGTCCCTCGAAGCGGCCGTAGACCTTGTAGGTCGCGGGCTGCATCACGGTGCCGATCGCCGAGGCCGCGGCGAGGTCGGGATCGCGCGACGGGATCTCGCCGGCGGCCATCGCGTCGGTGATGACAGCGCGCACGACGTCGACCGGGTTGGGCGTGCCGTCGGGGACCATCGCCAGGAACAGATGCTGGGTGAGCAGGTGGTAGGCGAACAGCGACCAGTCCCGGTCGGCCCATTCGCAGTAGCAGCGGACGATGGCGTCGATCTTGTCGCGCAAGGTGGCGACGGGCCCGTGGGCCTCGATCAGCGCCTCGGCCAGCGCACGGTGGTGGCCGAGGAAGATGTCGAGGGCGAGCTGCTCCTTGCTCGGGAAGTAGCGATAGATCGTGCCCTCGGCGATCGACGCCGCCATGGCGATCTCCCGGGTCGTGGTCTCGGCGACGCCGCGCGCGACGAACAGGGTGAGTGCGGCGCGCTCTACGCGGGCCTTGGTTTCCTCGGCTTTTCCCATCGTCTCAGTGTAGGGCGCGCTCGGGGCTCAGCAAAGTATCAAGCTTACCGGACACGCACGC